CCTCCGGCACCGTCGGTGGCACCTCGGGTTTGGGCAACGGCGGCAGCTCCGGCTTGGGCTGCTCGTCAGGCGTGGGCAGCTGCGGCTTCGGCAGCACGTCTGGTGCGGGCAACGGCGGCGTTGGCAACACGTCCGGTGTGGGCAACGGCGGCGTTGGCAACACGTCCGGTGTGGGCAACGGCGGCAGGTCTGGCTTGGGCTGCTCCTCAGGTGTGGGCAGCGGTGGCAGCCCCGACTTCGGCAGCACCTCCGGTGCGGGCAACGGCGGCGGCACGTCTGGCTTGGGCAGAGGCGCCGGGACATTAGGCGGCACCGGTGGGTACTCGGCCTCCGCCAGGTGCCGCGCCGCGTTGCCGACGCCGCCGCGGGAGAGCAGCAGCACGCCGAGGAGGAGCACCGCAAGAGACGACGACATGCTGGCGATCCCGGAAGCCATGGCTGACTTCACTGAACTAATCAAGAACAATGTGCGTTCTCCTTGCTGGGGTGAAGAGAAACGAAGGTGAGGGCTAGGCATTTATAGGAGGCGTTCGGCGTTCGTTCATCGCACGGAGTCGATCGTAAATTCGTAATGCGTTACACTCAAGTTCAGTACGTTAGTTGGCAGAGAAGACGGATCACCTGCGTTGCGTTTCTTCCTCCTGGCACGCACTTAATCCGTGGTACGTTTCGTACTCGCCCCGTGCGACGCTGGAGAATCGGGCCAGCCGGGCCGATCGACCGGATCGGTTGCCGCGGTTACACTAGTGCGACGTTGCTAGCGAAACACGCCTGCTACGCGTTACTATCACACATACATACATTATCTGCATACGGGATTTTTTTTGCGAAGATAAAGAGTTTTACATAATAGATGCAGAGTTACAGCTAGCTGTCAAAAACTCAGCGATACAAGATGGACAATGCTCTAGCCAGCAAGCCGTGCTACACTCTATTCTATCATAGTTCGCCAGGCGATCTGCTATTCTGTTTTGAGCTCTAGAAATTTTTAAAGGAACAAACTCTCTACCAACAAGTAGATGTTTAATCTCCGAAACTAAATGACCGTATGCCGATTTATTACACGGGATTGCCTATCGTCCTGTCAAAAAAGGAGAGGGAAAAATGACCTGACGTTACAAGCGTCAAAAGGTGGGCACTTAACTTTCTTTCCATGGATTCATTGCGACAGGAATTTCTGCAAGAATCACGTTTTTTCAGAAGGTGCAAGGTCATATCCTAGATATAAAAATAAAAATAAGCTGCAAGGTCATGCCATTGGTTGCTTTTGAGTACTTGCCTAGTACGGTTCACGCTTTATTGTTGACGAACTAGCTCTACTCCATGCGATTGATCGAGCGACACGAAATCGGTCGACCAACACGCACTATGAGACGTACGTCCAGATTATTAGTAAATTTTATTTTTTTGAGAAAAACGTTTTTAGACCTTTTTTGAGTAAAACGTACTCTATCGAGATATTTTTTTAGACAATACTCTATCGAGATCTGATCGAAATATTTGCAAAGTTCGCACGAAGGTTAGGCCCGGCGTCGGCCCATCTAAAAGAAGCTGGACTGTGTACACATTTATTGCACAGTCAAATGGGCTTAGAATCTGCGACGTGCAGGACGGTCGATATGGGCTGGAGCTGTGAACTTATTATTTAGTTTTCCTGTTCCCCAAAAAATATATTAAGTTCTCGTAATACTCCCCCCGGTCCTTTTTACTCTGCATATTAGGTTTGTCCGAAGTCAATCTCATCCAACTTTGACCAAGTTTATATAAAAACTTATAGACATTCACATAACAACATCAATATCATTAGATTCATCTTGGAATATATTTTCATATTATATTTATTAGATATTATAGATGCTAATAATTGCTAATATAAATTTGGTCAAACTTAGCAAAGTTTGACTTTCGGCAAATCCAATGTGCAGAGTAAAAAGGACCAGATGGAGTATATTGCCCCTTTCTCTTAAACTGAAACTACTTTTTATAACTAATCCTTGAATCATCAGAAAACGTTCATGGTGCGGGGATTCAAACCGGGCATGGGTTTCTTTTTTAGATTCGTGTATGGGCTGGACCTGTGAACATTTTTAAAAAGCTTTGTGCTTCCCTCATCATCAGAAAACGACGCGGGTGGTAGCGGCATCAACGGCGGGGGTGACACAGTAACACATTAGACATGGGATGACATTGCCGGCCATAACACCATCGTCGGGGAGGAGAGAGTGACAAAGCTACTTGGACGTGAGTTGATGGTGCGGGCGCGAAGGGGACCACCTACATGGGAGGATAGGGGGTTTGAGGGTTAGGGCAACGATGCAACGACGTTAGTCGCCGATGTCGGGAGGCGACAGTTAGGTCAGTAATTGTGGGTAGGTCAATGAGCTGCACATTATTACAACAATTGTTGTGGAAGGAGAGATAATAGTTCTAGGCACTACAAAAAGGCTTTTAGGTGGGCTCAATTTAGTGGCGAGTGAGGTTAGACACCCGCCACATCTATTTTGAAAAGGTTTCAGTAGCGGGTAAAAATATTACCAGCCACTGCTATCTGAACAACACTGGCTGGCTAAAACTAGCACCACCATTCATAAATTTTACAAATTTACCCGTGGGATAAAATTAGCAATGCCGGGCAGAGAATAAGTGCCCGCTACTAATTCGGTTAGGCGGGCCAAAAAACATGCCCGCCACAATAATACTCCGCGACCGATGCTCATTTTTTTCTCAATTTCCAAAAGTTTGCAATGGTGGGCATTATTAGCTGCCCGCCACACATATCTTAAGCTAAAAAATCCTTGAAAAAATCATATTTACTAAACACAGAGTAGTCTGAAATTTGAGCATGGGGCTTCCAAATGGTGTTTATCATGGGAAAAGTTTTAAGTTGAAATCATGAATAAAAATTGATTTGTATGTGGCAGGTGGAGGTTTTCATTTGAAACGTGCACACTTCGCCGAAGAGTGTTCGATTTGTGCACCAAATGCGTCATTTTTTTGCCTTAATGCTCTCAAATTTTTTGCCACATCCTACAGGGGTCCTATGAAGACATCATGCAAATTTTCATCCAGCTTCGAGCTTGTTTGGACGCTCAGAGCTTTTGCCCTTTTCAGTGGCCGGAAAATCTGTTAATGCTTCGAAAACAACAAACCAACTCAAAAAGTGGCTAAATTTGAACATGAGGATTCCAATAGTGTGTACTAATCATTAGAAAAGTTTGAAGTTGGAATAAGGAATAAAAATTGATTTATGTGTGGCAGACAACAGTTTTCCGTTCGAAACACTGACACTTCCCCAAAGAGTGTTTGATTTTTACATGAAGTGCGTCAAGTTTTTTCCTTAATCTTCTCAAATTTTACCACACCCTAGAAGGGTCCTATGAAGATATCATGCCAAGTTTCATTCGGTTTCAACCTTGTTTGCATGCTCAGAGTTTTTTGTTCTTTTTAGTCGTCGGAAAATCAGTTGATGCTTCGAAAATAGCAAACCAAATCAAAATGTGGCTAAATTTGAGCATGGCACTTAAAATGGTGTGTATTAATCATGTAAAAAGCTTGAAGTTGAATTTTGTGTGTGGCAGGTGAAGGTTTTCGCTTGGAACGTTGACACATCGCTGGAGAGTGTTCGAATTAAACACAAAGTGCGTGATTTTTTTGCCGTAACGCTCTCAAATTTTTACCACACCCTACATGGGACCTTTGAAGACACCATGCAAAGCTTCATCCAATTTCGAGCTTGTTTGCATGCTTACAGATTTTTGCCCTTTTTAGTGGCAGTATTGCCTCTTTAGGGCGCCGTCTTGGAATCCATGGCCCCATTTCTGCTTCCAACGGGCTAGACGTGCATGACATCGCAGTCGGTAAGTATTCGTCCAGCGATGTGGATGTTTGCTCGGCTTCTTGTGAGGCAATGCTGGCAGCTTCGGGTGGAGTTAGGTTGTAGCTGTATTTTGGTAAATATGCCCTAGAGACAATAGTAAAGTTGCTATTTATATTTTCTTATATCACGATAAATGTTTATTATTCATGTTGAAATTGTATTAACTGGAAACTTAGTACATGTGTGAATACATAGACAAAACAATGTGTCCCTAGTATGTCTCTACTTGACTAGCTCGTTAATCAAAGATGGCTAAGTTTCCTGACCATAGACATGTGTTGTCATTTGATGAACAGGATCACATCATTAGAGAATGATGTGATGGACAAGACCCATCCTTTAGCTTAGCATAAATGATCGTTTAGTTTTATTGCTATTGCTTTCATCATGACTTATACATGTTCCTCTGACTATGAGATTATGCAACTCCCGAATACTGGAGGAACACCTTGTGTGCTATCAAACGTCACAACGTAATTAGGTGATTATAAAGATGCTTTACAGGTGTCTCCGATGGTGTTTGTTGAGTTGGCATAGATCGAGATTAGGAGTTGTCACTCCGATTGTCGGAGAGGTATCTCTGGGCCCTCTCGGTAATGCACATCACTATAAGCCTTGCAAGCAATGTGACTAATGAGTTAGTTGCGAGATGTTGCATTATGGAACGAGTAAAGAGAGTTGCTGGTGACGAGATTGAACTAGGTATGATGATACTGACGGTTGAATCTTGGGCAAGTAACATACCGATGACAAAGGGAACGACGTATGTTGTTATGCGGTTTGACCGATAAAGATCTTCGTAGAATATGTAGGAGCCAATATGAGCATCCAGGTTCCGCTATTGGTTATTAACCGGAGATGTGTCTCGGTCATGTCTACATAGTTCTCGAACCTGTAGGGTCCGCACGCTTAACGTTCGATGACGATTTGTATTATGAGTTATGTGATTTGATGTACCGAAGGTTGTTCGGAGTCCCGGATGAGATCACGGACATGTCGAGGAGTCTCGAGATGGTCAATACGTCGATATATTGGAAGGCTATATTCGGACATTGGAAAGGTTCCGAGTGATTCGGGTATTTTTCGGAGTACTAGAGAGTTACGGGAATTCGCCGGGGGAAGTAGTGGGCCTTAATGGGCCATACGGGAAAAGAGATGTGGCACTCGGCTCGGAGAAACCGGAACGCCCCGTATTCCAGCCCAGAGATCGAGGAGAAGTCTTCTGGAATACAACACTGCTTAGCATAGAACAAACCAGCTTTCTATTATTACACGAATATGTATACAAGGTCTTCGATATTACAATGAATAACATCGGTACGGCGACACTACCCCATCCTTAGTTTCTCTATGCAAGCAGCAGAACAACTCGAAGCAGCGGAAAAACTTCTAGCAGCGGAACAACGACGACGGTGGTGAACTCTACTCCGCAGGGACTCTGGCTGGAACGCTGATCCTAGCTCGCACGAAAGGAAACCACGACAAGCAAGCAATCAAATCCGGCATGACCTGCAAACTGGTATGACACGCTAGTTCAGTACATTGAATGTACTTGCAAG